ATTCATCACTATCTATTATTTAACTTGAATATATAAGTTTTAGTTATTTCGATTAATCTTAAGAAACTATTAAATAAATTCCTTTTGAGTCCTATCAATAATATACTAGTAAACCATAGTATGTGTTATGTCTTTCATCATGTTCAGCTACAGCTAATAAAAATATCTCTATCATTTATATGATTTTTCTTTCTCTTCTCTATATATATCATTAGTCATACATATTGGATTTCTCCATTCCCACAGATAGGTATATACAATGGTTTTTTCCTCTTCTCTTCCTTCTATATCTATATATGTTTGTTGGATTTTTCTCTTATCATCTTTTCATTTTGATTACTTTTCCTATTACTTAAAGGATATTTTTATCGCATGGATTTCTCCTTCATGCTATTGTCATATATATATATAGCTGTTATATTTTTGCACGAGGTATATGATATAGCAATGGATACAAGTGGATTTAAAGTCTTACAATATGCAACTATATACAGTAGCAATTCAATATATAGGCAGCCATCAAATTTTACCCATAAAGTCGTCGTCTATGATATGTATAAATATGATCGTCAAATATCGATTGGATCTATGGTAAAGTGCGATGTAGAAACAATTTGTATTTGACAGAAGACGATTATAATGATACTGTTATCATTTCGTAAGTGTCTCCAATATAATAATTGTAATCGATCATTCGAGTTATTTGATATAAATCTAAATGAAGCACAAAAAAACATTTGTTGAGTCATAACCACTACTCGATTTATCTCTATCTCTCCATATATATATATAATGGAAAAAAATTTATATTTAACTTTTTTTTAGCTTTCACATTCGTTTTCATTTAATACTACTATACCTTATTTATTATTATTTAAAATACTCATTTAATTTCTATAACCATGTGTTCGTTGTCTATGTAGTGTAGAAACATTGATACGGATATTCCAAGATTTTAATACATATATATATATGATATGATATGAGGATGTATATCCCGAAAATTCGAAGTAAAGTGACAAAGATAGAAAATCCTAAAACTTATTAGCGAATCTGCTCTAAAACTGAAATAAGGACTCTACAGAATTTGTTCAACTTTGATTAGGCTCGTACTGAATATCCTACAATAAATTTATCTCACTATTTTAATGATATTTACTTGAATATGCTGTTTTCCAACTAGATCAGTTTTTTATGTATGATTAAATCATCTATCTTTCGTTTTAGGTATGAACTTTGTATAGTTAAATAAAATACAGAATAATAATAATATATCTAATTGAATCCTTGATAAAATCTTTCATTTTTATACAATATTTTATTGTTTTTTCTTTCTTTTATTAGTCCATAGACAAACAAAAACGCAAAACAATAAAAAAGATATATATATATAAAGAACATGAAAAACAGAATAAAGTTCATAGCTCTTTTAGAGAGTTTTAAACTAAGTTCTATGTGAAACATCAACATGCAAAAAGCAAGAACATGTATGTACAGCACGTCAAAATTGTTAAACAAACAGGTGATGAATATATAAATATGATTGTTTTAAACTTAATATCCAGAGTAAAATATGACCAGTAGAATTGTTTTAAGATAATAGCAAATTTTTATTTTTGTAGACGTTTTGTAGATTTATTTGTTGATGTTTTTTGTGTACGTGAGTTAGAAAGTGCGTTAGAATGAAATAAGAAATCGAAAGGTTCGAATTTTGGCATTCCTGCTACTGATGATGATGACGATGATGATGATGATGATGATGATGATAATGATAATGATGAAGTAGTAGTTGGAGGTGAATCATCTAAACTAAGTTCAGCTAATTCTCCTATAAATAAAATAATTCGAAAGATGATTTTAAAAAGAAACATTTACATACGATCTAATGATCCTTTATATAAATAAGGCGATTGAGTTAATTCTTCTCCTTTATGTACTATTATGATATTTGCTTTTGCTGTTTCATAGCCTGGATATGGAAAAGGTGGCATTTGAAAATAAATAACCTTTCCATTTTTAGTAAAATTTTCCACAGGATAATTCCAATTAAAATAAGGGACATTTACTTCAATTTTTATATCATTTTTCAAGACTTGACCTTTTAGAACCATATATACCATTTCTAATCCACTCATTGGTCCATATCGTGGACCCATATGTTCAATATCAACATCACCATAAGCTAAAATATTTATTAAATTTCTATTCCAATTATAAACTAATTTATCTTACCTTCAGTCATAATATTAGAATATACTACACTTCCTTCATCACGTTGATATTCGCCTTTTCCGACTTGAAAAATGCGTGTCAGACGTAGCATTGAACTTTCAAGTTGTCGTGAACGAATTAACTCTTTTGTTATAACATCACTTTGTTTACCTTTAATTAATTCAATCATCAATCTATCATAAATAAAAATATGTCAAATTGAAGTTTTCAGAAACAAAATATATACATACGTTTTATATCCATTTCGATAATCATCATTTGTTAAACGAAAATATAAAACATTTGGTTCATGTTGTTTAAAGATCAATGTATTCTCTTCAAATGTTGCTGAACAATCTTTATTATGGAGTGTATATGGATGTGGTTGTTGATCGATGCCTACCAAAGTAACTTCAATAAGATTTATATCAGCTTGGAAAGCCCAATCTGGATGCATCTAATAAGAAACAAAATAAAAATGATTCTTAATCATATAATATAATGTAATTAAATAATATACCATAATTGTTGGATATCCTGGTGTAATACCTTCTTCACATCGAATATAATGTGCTGAAATTTTACTTTCATTTTGTGTTCGTGGACGATATTTTGCACGTGGTTGCTCTTTTATCTGAATTGGTTTTGTTTCTGCAATATCATATTCAAGAGCTAATACGAAAATCAAAAATTATCTTAATGAACAATTAAAAAGAATATATCTACTTTGTTGTTGATATGCTAAATCACTTTGTAATTGTGTAACACAAGGTTGACAATCACCAGATTCTAGAAGAATTAAATATAAATTTAAACATATTTTAGATATAAACATACGCATATAATATTCAATAGGAGCAACAGTTGTTGATCGTTGTTGAAGTTCTATAGGAAAAAAATTAATTATTGAATATTATATAAAAAAAACAATAATGAATGTACTTTTATTCTTTTTAGGTTTTGATGCCATTCGATATATTTCCTCTTGTCTATTTAAATAAGCTTGTGTACTAAGTACAGCTGAAATGAAAGATAATAAATAATCAATATATTAAATTTATATATAATATGACTTACTTTCATTAGCTTGTGGTTCTGCTGGTGAGCTACCAATTCGAACAGACACTGGTGATGAATATACTAAAATAGAGTGAATGTTAAATTTAATGAAAAATAATTGAAAACTAGGATAATATACTTGATTGTGGTTGATAAAATCTTGAACTATCATCATGTTCTATGAAACTACTTTGTTGTGATTGTTCAAGACTTGTATTTTCATAATGTTCTATGAAAGTACTTTGTTGTGATGGTTCACCGATATTATATGAATCGATTAATTGGCTTATTTCATCTCTATCGATTGATTCTCCAGAGGGTTCATTCAAGTTTAATGTTAAAAAATTAATTTCTATGAAAAATAATAAAATAACAAAATGAATTAGTTTTTATCAGCAAGGTTAAGTGTTTTATTTATTCTTTCTCTCATGTGACTTGTTCTACACAGATTAGATATATTTAGCTACAATATCAAAGTGCGCATTAAAATTGTAAATATGAATGTATGATATATTAAAGCTTACGTTCATTATCGGTTGGATTAATGAGATCATCGATATTAATATTTTCATCAATATGATTGTTTTGATTGAGTGGTATCGGAATATAATCATGAAGTAGATTATTTGAAAACAAGTCAAGATTTGATAATAACTATAAAATATTAAAAATATTAATTAATTCAGTTGTTTATCTTTGTATCGATTATACGTTATTCACGGCATCATCACTGGGAAGATCTGATGCTGAAAATGGTTGCTGTTGATCATTCGAACTTGTATCTTCAAATGAAAAATCAAGGATCTCGTCCATACTTGCTGATAGTAGATTTTATTTAATAAATCTGAAAATTAGATGTTCTTTAGTTTATCTTACATGGTTAAAACTAAGTATACAATCGCTATATATATATAAAGAATAAATACATATTTCTCTCATGTTGATTCTTATTTCTATGAAAAACACTGCCGACCTCTTGTGCATGTCTACGCTTTATAACATACCAAAACAAAAAATAAGAATGACGAGGTATTCTTTGCTTAAATACTATTGGAGCCTTTATAATTTTTCTTTTTCTTCTTTATCAGTTCGTCTGACTTTTTGTAGAAATAAAGAAAAAAACAAAGTTGTCCTCTTTCTCCTCTCTCTGTTTTGCCAAAAATATATTAAAAAAACGCACTGCTCAGACTGTTTTCATGTCTGAAATATGGTAAAAAAACCATCAAAATAAATTTTTTTGTAAGAAAAGAACGCCTCCGTGTCTATGCTATAATGTCAATCAAAAAGGCAAACTACCAATTATATTAAAACTCGATGATCGATTTATTATATATGAATCAATAAGTCTACATAGACATGTTCTAAAAAAACAAAAATAAAAATCATATATCATTTTCCAATATAACCGTATTATTATTGACGCATAATACACGTAATAAAGTAAATATGAAAAAAGTTTCACTTTATTTAATCAATAAAAAAATTCACATAACTTTATTTATAGAAAAATACTCTATATTAAAAAAAAATTCACATTTAAAATATCGAATATAAATATCACTGGTTTTTATATCATTAAAAGCCGAAAGATGAATATAAATTTAAAAGAAACAATCTGAGTTCTATATCGGAAGAATTCGATTGATTTCGCATTTTGTTTTTCTTCGAAAAGAAATAGATAAATCCATTGTATATATATGTATATATATTCATAGTATGAAAAAAGAATATCATCGATGTATGGATTGAAAAGATGATGAAAAAAGTGTTTCAATAGCAGAATTGAATGTTAAAATATAAAAAATTCGAAGTGGCATTGTAGGAGAAATTAATAAATCAACCATTCGATGGTAATCTGATGGAGACTAAAAAGAATATATACAGAAAGAAATTATGAACAAATAATCATATTTATTATTTACATCAAATTTAATTTTATATAATTGCCATAGTGTTGCACCAGTAAAATTTTTTAACGCATTTTCAAAACTAAATTTTTATAAAAAAAAAATATTCATATTTATATAGAAAAGGTAAATATTAATTTTACATTTGAAGTTTTTCTCGATTTAACCATTCAATAACATCATCGGCAGACCATTCCTGGACATTATGATAATGAAAGTATGTACTACTCATTGTTGTAGTTATCTGATTGTTTGTAGGAATTGCAACTAAAGAAAATGTTCTTTTTTTTTAAAAACAAAACTATTATATTATTTACCGGTTCGATCATTTTCATTAGCACCTAACGAACTCCGAACAGCTTCAATTTCTCGTACTAGTAAATTAAATGCTTCATCAAATGGAAGTTGAGAAAAATCAATATGAAGTTTAGCACCATTTATTATACCAAGCCATCCTTGTGCTTTATAACCTGCTTGCATTAACATAGGTATTGATGCTTTATTTCGTTCAACAGAATATTCAGCTTCTATAACCAAAAAACAAACAAAAATATTTAAAAATAAAAGTATGAATATATTTACCTAGTCGACAATAACGACTGTCATAGTATTGTTCATTAATTGCCATTAAAACAACAAAAGAATTTTCAACAGCTGATGCCATCGATCCAAAAATATTACCAGATATATTATCTTCATCAATCCAAATGATATAATTACGATCCTAATGTATATATATATGATAAACGAAATATTAGAACTAAGAAAAAAGTATTTTACTTTCAAATGTTTAGAAATTCTTGAACATACAGCTCTCGTTGAATGATTATAGCTTATCATAATATGTCCAAGATTTTTATTATCTTTTTTTTCTATTCCAGTAAATTCTAATGATATGGGTGTTTTATCTGTTAATGCTTCTTTGATGATTGATATGTCTAATTAAATGAAAAAAATATTAATTTATCTTTTAGAATTGTTTTATTGCATATTTATTATACCATCGTCTTCATCTTTATATGCTACACATAGACTACGACTATAATTAAACACTGGTCGTTCTAGACATTCGTCCATTAGTATTGTTTCAGTATCTGACGTTACAGAGGAAAAACTCTCTTCGATTAAACCAGTTTCTTGTACTACTGAAAGTGTATGAGTATCATGTTCTTCTGATGCTTGTAGATGAAGAGAATCTATCGTATAAGAAAAAATAAAATTTAATTTCTTTTCTAATATCAAAACAAACAAACTAACCATCAATAGTATGATTAACTGTAGTTATTTGTATATGGGAAGAATCATTACCTAAATTGTTTGAATATTAAATTTAAATGTTTAGATTATAAATAAAAATAATAAATATTTACTATCATCAGTAGCTTCTGTTGGTTGTTGATCTTGTATATCTGATTCATTTTCACCTAAAGAAAAACAAATATTTTGAAAAGTTCAAATCATTTTAGGTTTTTTTTCTCAGAAATTTGATAACTTATTAAGATCAAATAATGGTAGTCAAGATGCATGTCTATAGCTATTATCTTGTTTTTATTGTCTAGATTTTCTGAAAGATAAGTGTTTCAAAGAGATAAAATTGTTGAATCATCAACTGAACTAATGATATAATAATTCTATTTACTTGATTGGCAAGAAAGATTGGCAACTTTTTGTAATTCTGTTGTTAAATGCGACATTTGTTGTTGATACTCTTTTTGTGAAAAAGAACACTATTACAATAAGTAAAAACATTTTATCAATATAAAATAAACAAAACAACTTACTTCTAAATCAAAATAATCCGATGTATTTGAGTCGCTGATATGTGGTGTTAATGATGGTGTCATAAAAACTTTAAAAAAGAAAAAGAAGAAATAGTTTTTTTTCAATCTATCAAAAGTAAATATAATCAAACATACGTATCCGGTCAACATCAGCATCGTCCATTGAAAGTAGATTCATAAGTGTAAAATAGATGAAAATTTAAATATATATTTGCCAACCCTATACAAAGGGTGGAGGGTTTATGTTCTGAAATAATCAACATACAATTATATATATATATATACATTGTTATTTTCACATATACTGTATGTAAAAACGACAAGAATGTTTTATCTCTTCTTTCCTTACATCACCATCGAATCAAACATAAAATAAATATACGTGTAAGCCAACCAAAAGTAATCAATGGATAGTGAATTTTATCGTAGATTACATCTTTTTGCTTGGAAAGAAAAAAAAAGAATATGCTAGATCGTTTATAGTTTATTGTCTGGCAATTGAGATTTGCTCCTTTTTATTTCAAAACTAAAATACATTTAGATATGGAATTTATTTTCAATGCATGCAATCATTATTCCGCAGGAACCATTAATGCATGATTTAAAATGTATGAATAGAAATATATAAGAAAAATAAACAGTAGACTTTCATCATCGATAGAAATGTAGTTGCACGTGCAAGCACTTGTTGCTGTGTCTGAATCATTTTTCGTTGCAATCTAGATTCAGCTGGCAACCAATATGCTACAGGTATGATAAGTGACACCTATGACAACTATTATTTGTTTCCAGTACGTATGTTTCGGACATCTTATAAATGTAAAAAAAAGAAGCTATATATATACAGATAGATTATAAGGTTCGCAGTAACCTAGTGCTTGTTATTTTGCAAAAAGAAAGGTGTACTATTCGTCTGGATGTGAATGACGTCTTTTAAGAAAAAAACATCGAATTTTTATTTAATGAATAGAACGAAATAGAAATAAAAAGACTATAGGTGGATATATATTTGTTTAGTTTCTTGCTTAACGATAAATATAAGGTTAAAAAAAAAGAAGCCAATTAACGAGCAGAAAAAAAAACATAACAAAAAAAAAGAAAATCATATGGATTGGAATGACATATAATAAAAAAGACAAAAACGCACCAAGTGAAGTTTATTAGTCACTGTTTTTTTTATCATTATAAATAAGAATAACAATGAAAACTTTAAATAATTTTTTGTGTCATGTTTGATATTTTATGTTAAAAATAAAAAGATAGAAGAAGAAAGAGATTCACAATTACCAAGAGTTAATAATTTTTTAAAGAAACAAAACATTGCGCATATGATAAAATCAATATAGTCTATTTTAAATTTTAAATCAAAATCTTCGGTTCTGAAACACTTTCACTAATAGCTTTATGCGGTAATATAATACCTCCATTGATAAATAATTCATCTTGCACAGATACATCAAGTCCAAGTACACTTGTATTTTCCATACGAACCTAAAGAAAAAAGTTTATATTCAAATAATTATATCATACTAGATTATTTACCCATTGACCTATATTGCATCTCCAACCAATAATACAATTTGCAATCCATGAATGACTTTTAACCAGTGAATCGGCAAGTATTGTACAGTTTTTTAAACATACTCCATCTTGTATAATAACTCGTGGGCCGATAACGACATTTGGGCCTATACGACATCGTTCACCAATTTTAGCTGTAGGATCCTTTTATATAGAAAACAAAATAAGAAATTTTATATTTACTTGATTTAAAAAAACAAAGAACTAATAAATATAATCTTACCACTAAAACATTGCCTACTGTACCATTATCGCGCGATAATCGATCTGGCATAGAAGATCGAGCATAGTTAAGATATAAACCCATTCCAGTTAAATAATCTTTTGGTTGACCAACATCCATCCAAAAACCTGTAGAAATATAATCATATATATATACATTAAATTTCATTAAATATTTTACCTTTAAGCTCAAATGCATATAATTGTTTATCACTAGCCATAGCAGGAAAAATTTCTTTTTCAATTGATGTTGGTCGTAACTAAATTCATTAGATAAGAATTGCAATAGAAAATTTTCAATAATTTACTTCAATTCTATTGAGTATTGCTGGATTGAATATGTAAAGACCAGCATTAATTTTATTCGAAACATATTCACGTGGTTTTTCAACAAATCGATCAATTTTACCAGTATTTTGTTCATAGACAACAACACCATATTTCGATGGTTCATCAACTTTTGTAACCTTTTGAGGATAGAAGAATATTCAATATATAGATCTATCATTTAATAGACATACCACAATAGTTCCTTCACAATTATGTTCTTTATGAAACTTAATCATATCATTAAATGGGAATTCACATATCACATCTGAATTGAGCACAAAAAATGGCTCATTTTCTACTTGAAGGTGATCACGTGCTAATGCCAATGGACCAGCTAAAAGAAACTATGATATAGAAATTAATAATCTTATGATAAAAAAACTCGCACCTGTTCCTAAAGGTTCAGTTTCTTGCGAAATTGTTATTTTAATACCCAATCGTTTAGCTTCAACTTCCATTTCACGTTGTAGCATATCAGATAAGTAACTAACAGCTAAAATAACATGTGTGACACCAACCTAATTAATTAAAATAAAATTTATATTTTTTTTATCTTAATAAATAATAAAGAATATATATACTTCAGCTAATGCTTCAATTTGATGGAGAACCATTGGCTTATTACAAAATTCTACCAATGGTTTTGGTTTTGTAAGTGTCAAAGGACGTAAACGTGTTCCATAGCCGCCGACAAGAATGAGTGCTTTCATTTTTCTTTGTTTATCCAAATGTTCGTAATGAAATAACTTTTTTTTTGTTTTTTTTAACTAGAACAAGACATATTACATTTCATACTTTTTAGATTTTTTCTTAAATATATTGAAAAGAAGAAAAGGACGGAAGCCGAGATAAAAAGGGAAAATAAGTATTAATATGTTTAAAATTAACAAACTCTGTGCTTATATATATATATATATAAATAGGTATATATGTATATACTCGAAATGTGTAATAAAATGCTCGAATACAAAAAGAAGAAAAAAAAAGAAGAAGAATGCTGATTGATTGTAAATGATCAAGAGAAATAAAATGAAAATTACCAATAAACCATCCTATATATATATAAATATGTATATATATGTCTTCAGTCTGACATAAGAAAATAAATAGATATTCATCCTACTGTTCAAAGCAAAAGAAGCAAAAAAAAACAAGATCACAAATAATTTAAAAAAACTGAATTATTATTTGTCTTTTGTATAATTTTCATTTGGTTTGACACTGTCAATAACACGACCAGTTGTTGAATCTACAACTTGTTCAATACGTGCTTTACAAAAAAAAACATTCATTACTTGTCAAGAAATGCGTATTAATACATGATCTAAATATA